ATTATTATTATTATTATTATTATTATTATTATTGTTGCAATGAGCATTTTAACTAGCATAATGGCTGTCATGTCAATATGATGAGAGACTTGACTCAGTTTAAGAATAATTCCTAGAAATCCGTTCATTTGGGGTGAGCCCTAACTGACCACAAATGACTACTGTAATTGCAAACATCCTTTCCATAATGATGTTTAATAGAATCCCAGTCAGTTAAAAAGACAAAAACTGCTGTTTAAATGTAATATGTGTTAATTTTATCACAGTGCATTGCATTTCTCCCAAGCTGTTTATTGCGTATTTTATTATTGGTAAAAATTGTCCAACAGCGAAACATGGTCAACTACAGACAAGTCGCGTTATTTTACTTTAAACCTCTCTTAAAGGACACATGTTTTTAAATCCTTCTTTTTCACATTTAAMTCATTCAATTGGGGTTTATATAAAGTGGAACTGCAACRCTTTGTTCTGAATTYYTYGTTATTGTAACTCCACAAGCCCCTCTTTCCCCCCCTGTTGTGGGGTGTGTCTCAGATCAAGTTTGATCTYGTCTCTTTAAATGCAAATGAGGCACTTCCCACCCTACGCCCCTCCTCCCCATTTATCCATTTTTGTAGTTTRATAGGAGAGRTATGATTACATAGCAGYGCAGAAACTTTTATATTYACAAATTGATTAAAAGATGTCAACAGGAGACTTGTCCATCCACTTGTAGCGTTAGTATGCTTGAACTTGGACTACAAAATCACAGGAAGTAGTGAAAAAGGCAGATTTGCAAAATTGGCTAGCCGGAAGTCCATGACATTAGCAGTTCCACAGCATATAGTGTGACTTAATTATTTAAAACAAGTTATAGGGAATAGAGAAAATGGAACAAACTGGAATAATATGATCCAAACAGAATATAAAGATATTATTGCAGCACCATGAGAGACCAAATTCAACTTTCTGCACTCCTAGAGACCAATACAACAAAATGTACTGTATTTAGGGCTAAAAAAAGGATTTTGCATGGTATGTCTCCTTTAAATGGTTTGTAAATGGGGGAAAATCCAGTTCTGGTTTCTTTTTTTCTTTACAGAACTCCAAAGATCTCTTCAAAAGAAGCCAAAAAAGACATGCATCGTGAAAATGGTCGGAACAAGAAACCTGTGGAAGAACATCGTCGTTCTGTGTGTCAACTCGTAAGTATTAATCCTGTCAGTTAGTGTAGGACATATCAACATCCAAAGAAATGTKGGTGGGGAAATAAAAGCAACGAAGTGAAAATAATAATAAAAATCGAATGCACATGTGGAGGTAATGCCAGTCAGAGCTGCCATTTCGTGCAGCCAAGATGCCAGTTTGAACCCGCCCAATCAATAAAACATTGATCTTTGGCTCCCTCTTCCATATTGTTGCTGCTCTTTGTTTGAGTCTCTGTTGGGATCTCCCCTCTCCTCATCGCTCCATCTGAGATCTCATCTGCAGCTTTATGCCTGCTTCAGTGCACGCCATCCCAGACTCTCTAWGTTAGCATAAATTATACATGAGTTTTGTCCTCAGGAAACATTAGACAGCCTGGAGGGAGGAGAGGCGTGTTCGGTTTGCTCTTTGTGCGTGTGTGCGTGCCTCTGTACTTTTGTGTCAATAAGCCAGTGTTTACATTTGTGAAGTTTATCCCTCTATATTGATGTTGAGATGAGAGACAACACAATGATGTTGACTTGGTCTTTTTTTTTTCCTCGTCTTTTTCCTGGATGTTCTTTTTCCCCGTATTGCTATTAATATTTTTCCTGTGTGAATACTTTCTTTTTATTCCTTCATGTCCACCCAGTTATTACACTGTGCAACCTAATGTTCCCCTTTATACTCGTCAGATAGCATGATATTTCTCAATGCTACTTCTGTTTGCTTTGTTCCCAGGCTAACAGGGTATGGGATCCACCACTGTTTTGCCCGAAGCATGATGGATCAGGATGTGAAGGAGAACACGTGGTTCCGCAACTTCTATACAGACTACTACACGATGGCGGGCATAGCGGTGGCGTCGTGCCTCTTTCTGTGCCCGGCAGTTGGTCTGATGGGTCGACGTGGGGGTCTCCTCTTGTTCATGATCATCACCGCCCTGGCATCGCTGCTGCAACTGGGTYTGCTCAACTGTGAGTACTTTTRCAAACAAACAAACAAAAYACGTCCTTTGATTAGAGATCAACTAATACAGGATTTTTAAGGCCGAYGCCGRTTATTTTGACATAAGYTAACTGATCCACAATATGTGCTGCCGATTATTATTTTTTGGGGGGACGATTCCTTAAGCTGATATARCTTTTTTCCCTCCATTTRCATGATAAAAATGACGATAACAAATGTTAGACAAGTCTCGATTTAAACAAAAAAATGACATTTATTAACAAAACACACAAACCATATAGCAAACAATGTAGCCAACACAAGAAAAAACACAAATATTGTCTGGCCGACGCATCTCTGATGTCATATTACTGAGTTTAAACCACTTCACGATTAAACCATGGCTGCAGATATTTGCAGTTGAAATTCAGCTTTGTTGTTAGAGAAGAATGATTTTTATACATCTTGAAAAACCAAGATTTTGCTTTCTTGTCCAAATTCATACGATGAGGTCARTGTGTTTCTACAGTCTCCCAAAAGCTTGAGCCCACAGATGACCAGAGTAGATTAGCATGGAGAACCTGCTAGCCTGGCTCTGTTCTAAACCTTGAGTAGTCAACTAAAACATTTAGCCAAAAAATAATAATAAAAAAACATGACAAAAGTCACCGGACACACTGTATTTTGATCCAATATAGCAGCTTTTGAGATGGGGGGTCCTGTTCTGGACATAACCTAAAAGATAGCGCCCCCACCACACACACGCACACACATTACTTGCTGGGTTATTCAGCTTTGTCATGTTCCCTTTTATTTTTGAAATAAAAGGGAACTTTTAAGCAATCCACTGCCCACAAAAAAAAAAAAAAAAAAAAAAAAAACATGAAAACAAATGTTTTCCTGGCAGTTGTTTCACATCTTCTGGTGCAGAGCAGCTGATATTCAGTTAGCAAGTGTTTAGCATAATAATGCATAAAGTTTRCATACTGTCACTCATCGAGAACCGCAGCACTTTGAACAGAACAGAGCTGTTGCTGACGTAGTTTTGAACACGTACTTTACAGATGTGCTCTCTGGAAAAACTGATGTGTCACAAGCGTAAATCCTCCAAGTTAATTCTAATGTGAAACAGGGACTTCTGACCTTTTATTTTCTCTCTCGTCTTGGAAAAATGTGTGACTTGAAGTTGTTTTGGGTGGGGTAACTAAATGTAATTACACTTTTTTGTTGTTGTTGTTGTAGTTACTGTGTATCAAAGGTCCTGTCGATGATCCAAACAGTTTATTCAGTAACAAACAGGTTGGACTTAATGCTTAACTTGAGTCAACACATCAAGGTTGCGCTCGTGTTTCAGGTTCCGTTTAACGATGTTTGGAATGTTAAACTACAGTCAGACTTTGCTGAACACGTTTGCATGGCTTTGTATTAAATGTGTGAGATTTAAAGTTTCTTGTGATGAGTTCTTGTGATGACTCTTTCTCATTGATTAATATTTGTGTATCTGCTTACCTCCCTAGTGCTGTGGAAGTACAGCTCCCATCTGAACATAGGTAGGTTCATCTGAGAAGTTCAACTCTACTTTTATTTTATTTTTTATTTTTTACTAACTTTATTTACCATTTCAATGTGGATTTTGATTTTTGAAAATGTGCTAAGTGCATTTCTTTAGGCCCGTATGAGTTCTCTCGATGCTCACAATAAACCCCTAGACTTATTTATGAATATTTATTAAATTGTTGCTGAGCACCTTTTTCCTTTCTGTTTTCTCCTTTTTGAGGTTCTGTGAGAAACAAGTTACAATCACAGAACAGCTTCCTCTGATCTCTTTGCCATTTTCCTCATGTTTTATTCAGAACACTGTATTAAGGCCATTTGAGGAATATATTGGCTTTTATTTGCCAGCCAAGTTTTCACTAAGCTCTTAAAATAGACAATAATGCTGATAAAAAATGTACAAAGATAATTGGCATACTACCTAAAGGGCATCTTGAGTTCTGCAGCCAGGAAGTATGTTTATTATTAGTAGATTTTCTTTTTCCAAATTTTTGACAAGTAAAATTGATAAATCTCATTACACACGAGTAGACTGATTAACTTGATCAAACTGACCAGGTTTCAGAAATTAAAATAAGGGACGCACACCACAGCCCGACTCCTGTGTGTGAGGGGTGATATTTTGGATGTACAGAAAGCTCTACAAAAACTTTTTTTAATATGTATATACATTAAAGAATCAATGTTTTCTCTTAACAAATTTTGTTATTTCTTAACTGTTAATCTGTTAGTATTTGTTTTTAAATGGCTGTATTTATACAGGCTAACACCAGTGTATATTACATAAATGATCGTTCACTTGACTTTAAAAACTCAGCATCCTAAACAATCAACTAAACCACAATAGTTTAAATAAGTTATGCCCAATCACTGACATCTTCTGGTGAAAGCAGAGCCACATCAGTCAGTCTCGGAGATGACTGGAGTCTGAAGAACTGTGGTGTTTGGGTCTTCTGTGTTCTGACTAGGGCTGCCAAGATTAATCGATTATTAAAATAATCATTTGTGGCAGCCCTAGTTCTGACAGGTCTGCACCGGTGCTCTGCTGTGTGACCTGGAACAATGTCTGACTCATGTCAAATCTTTTTCTTTTCGTCAATGAAATAAAAAAAAGGTCCTTAAAATTGTCCAACATGTCTGTGAGTAAACGTTGACACAAAGAATTCTCAGCTGAACTGGAAACGTTCGGTTTGGTTTCCATCAATGCATAAAAAATTGTTTTAATGGAATTCTCTATTAATTTAAGAATCATCAAGGTCAAATTTCGCACACACAAGTTTACATTTTTAAAGAAGAAAAATAGTCAGCTGATAAAGTTCACACATTAAATCATTAAACACACTCGATTCATTTCTGCACTAATAAAAAGGKCACACGAACCTTGAAAGACTTATTGTCATTTTGGAGTTCCTGGTTTTATTTTGACACATTTCTTTTTTTAAATTTTGTTTTAATAGCCTACTTTTTATAGCCTGTATTTGTTCAACCCCCCCTGGTACCCTTTTGTTGTTGTTTTGTACTTTTATAACTAAGTTGTTTTATTTCTACAATAAAGTTTTGGGGGCAAAAGGAAAGCAAAAATCACCGACACATTTTACAGTTTGTCTTGCAATCATCTCCACTGATGTTGCTCAGCCAAGGATGTTATACTGTATATTGGTTCAATACAGGATGCAGCATTTATTTGCCAAATAAAGGCCGATTCTGTATTTTATGGGGAAGGTGGCAACCCTAATCATGACTGAGGTCCTAAAATTCAAGAAAGAAAGATAAGTTTTGTATTATGCAGGTTTTGGACTCTGACGAATGTTCCCTTCTTTCTTTTCATCCTTGCACAAAAATGTGTCACATTATTTTTTGTCATGTTTCATTTTTAAGATAATGTCTTAGTTATATCTTACAGAATATATAGGACATAATACTTCAACTTGTGGCCTTCATTTGATCCTGTATGGATTCATTAGATGCTGYTGAAGCCTCAGAATTTAAAGTGATTTTTCTGTCCTTATAACTAAATGGCTTAAAGAAACAGTCCTGCAAAATAGCACTGAATGAAAAATAGCGAGGATTCTCTAAAAAGGATGTTCCCTCTGTGTTTTCCTAAGAACACTGTGTCAGAAATGACACGAGGTGCTGAGCAAAACGGTTTTAATTGCGTTTGTGTTTCCTGCTTTTTCAGCCGACAGCTCYGACACGCTGAATAGGAACTTCTCGATCGCCTTCTCCATCATCGGTATGTTCTCCTCCCACGCAGTCAGCAACCTGAGCATCTTCTTCTGTGCTGAGATCACGCCCACAGTGATCAGGTAAACCTCTAAGACCTGCACTGTAACATCGGGGGGCGGTGGGGGTCCAGCGGTTGGAAACGAGTAAAGTGTTTGTTTGTGAATGTGGATTTCTTTGATCGGTATCCAGTTTAGCTGACACTGTGGTTGCTTTGAATCCTCAACATCTATTCTGTGGTTGCATTGACAGCTTCAGCTCCTTGTAGATGATGGTATTAAGTCATCAAGTGGCTAACAACAACTGATTCCATCTTTGAGACGACTAAGTGGATGGAGGCTTCCTTTGTTTAAAGTCAGTTAGAGGGTGTCAGGGTGCTGAAAGAACGTCAAGACCTCCATCTAGTGCTGCGTTTGGGTAACGACAGGAAAAAAAATGAACTGTTCAAGTTGAGTGTCTTGATGGTACAACAGCACTCTCTATTGCCCTTTTGTTAAAATGACAGATCAAAAATAATGGATGGCAAAGAAATGAACTTCTTTTTAGCATATTATATTTAAATATATATTTAAGATATTAACTCTAGTAAATGTTAGTGTTTTAGTGTGTGTTTATATGATCCCATGACATACATTTCTAACATTTTTATTGTTTCCATTAGGGGTGGTGGTCTGGGCCTGGTGCTGGCCAGCGCTGGTTTCGGCATGCTCACTGCCCCCATCATGGAGCTGCACAATCAGAAGGGCTACTTCCTCCACCACATCATTTTTGCCTGCTGCACCCTCATCTGCATCATTTGCATCCTGCTTTTGCCGGAGACACGCTACCAGCCGCTGCCCGAGACCTTGGACGACGCCGAGAACTACACCCGCCAGCCCCTGCTGCTCACGCGGAAGCCGGGAGAGCAGCACCTCTTGCTGGGCCCGTCCGACAGCAGCAGGGACTACACCAAGGTGCACGACACGCCGCTTCACGAGGCGGCCACCACCGTCGTGTCCAGCATGGGGTCCACCGCCTCCTCGGCCGTTGATTTGACCGCCCCCGTTCCTGGGACGAAGCAGCCTACCCAGCCGGGGCCTCGAGGCCCCAACGGCCACGCAGTTTCACCCCCAGCCTCAGTAACGGTTCTGAGTGAAGATACTTTCCCACCTGCCAAAAAGGAGCACCTTTTGTCTTCCAGTCCGTTACACAAAGCCCCGCGCATCACGGACCCACTTTTAGCCGACGCGGACGCACATCCCGCAGTCCCAGGCTCTGTTGAACCATTGACTGACAGCGTCCACCTCGAAATCAATCACCTCCCCCCTTCCCCGACAAGCGAAGACAACTCAGGCCCTTCTGCGTCGCTGGGCTCCTCCACTCCCACCATGCCTGAAACTGTGCCCGCCTCCATGTTGATTTGCACAGTGCCCACCCTTGAGCCCCCTCCCAGCTCCACGCTAGCGTCTCCAGACCTGCAGGACGGCGATGTCAACGGGATCGCCACAAATTCGGGTCCGCCTCTGTCGGAGAGCAYCCTTTCCTCTTTAGCAGAGCCTCCAGCTATGCACGATGATCTCCCTCCATCCCCCGTCGCCTCGCCTGCTCCTGAGTCGGACTCGGATGTTCTCCTCCGCCCTCCCCCGCCCCACATTACCCCACAAACTGATAGCGATCCCCCGTTACAAAAAGCAGATAAATCTGCATTTACTCCCTCTAAAACAGACTCTCAACCACCTGATTTAGACTTAGCTCCCACCTCAGTTAAAGAATCATCCACTCATCCCTCTACTCCCCGTAGTTCCTCAGAACTGACCGCCCCTCGGCCTGCTGACTCAGACCATGTGTCCACAGAGTCCACATCTCCCGCTGTCCTCCCTGTCACAGACATTGGACCGGACTCGGCTGTTACTCTGGTTTCAGACTCGATGAATTCCAGCGTTGATTCGGGCCGTAYGGCAGCATCTCCCCCCTCTCTAATAGACTGCACCGTCTCCTCCCCCATAGACTCCGGGGTCCTCCCTGTCAGCAACAGGGAAACTGCCAGCACAGACAGCAGCACTGTCGACGGCACGGACTCCACATGATTGAGTGCTGAGCCGAGACACGAAGCTTTAAGGCATTGCACCAGGAGGAAGCGACAGGAGGGGTGGGGGGGTGTTAAGAACTGCCCTGCTCAGACTTCAGGTGCGTCATGAAGACTGTGCCTACCTGAGGCTGAGTTTGTTGGACTGAGCTGCTTTACGTTTCTCGATGCTTCTCCCACCTTCCTGCCCTCTTTGTGCATTTAGCCAATGAACGAGACCACACGAGCGAGAGTGTAACTTCGAATTTTCAGGAACGTCACTGGAAATCACCAGCGTATAATTTACTCGGAGGTAAAAGAAAAAAAAGAAGAAAAAAACAATAATAATAATAATCTAATAAAATAAAAATTAGGAGCCAATGAGTGGAATCACTGTCATTTTAATACCACTGAGAGATGCCATCAGTTCTGAAGAAGTGCAAAGGTCATGGAAATAAAGTAAAATACAATAAAATAAAATAAAAATTGCTGGTACTTTTGCTTAAATAAAATGTTTGTATTTCTAAGAAAAAAAGTCGCCTTAACTATGTGGACGAAAAAAAATGGAATGTTACAAATTTGTGTTGATAAAATTGGTGAGGGGGAGATTTAGTTATTTTATTTTATTTTAAATACAAACCAAAAAGGACCCTAACCAAAATTTTTTGTAGACGTAGTGCCAAAACATTAACAGCAGTATAGTATTTGTTGGAGGTGGGGTGGAGAATGTGAAGTTGACGTCATGCTACGTTGAATTTTGGGTAATTGATCTGATGTGCCAGTTCCTGTAACCCCATAGCAACAAGCCTGTTTTGTGACTGTATTACCTAACTGAAATTCAGGACGTGTGTTATAACATGTTTTTGCTTCATAAAAAAAATGCGGAGTTGGAGACGTTCAAAGAAGCCATAGTTGTTCTGCTTTATCGATGAACGAAGAGTTCAACTTTGTAGAAAATTCAAATTTTGACGAAATACCGGCTTGTTAACCACTAAATTTTACATCCAGTCATTGGAAAATTAGGTTAAATTTCCTAAATATTTAACTGTTAGATTCTTGCAAAGTGTGTTCACTCAGTTTACTACTTCAATGTTGCTGTCAAGAAGGAGTGGTCATAATGTATTGGCTGAATTGTATGAAAATCATGTTTCTCGGTTGTGTGATTGATTATTTTTTGTGTAAAATCCTTTTTTTTTCTTCATTTGATCTCATCCTCTTATCATGACATTTAATTATTTGACAAAAGTCCGGCCAACTCAAACCAAAGCTATCAGGCAACACAGACGGCACACACAGATACCCAACAAGCAACCCAGTGTGACTCACTTTCACATTCATCATTTAACCTTTTATTTTCCAATGTAGAAAATGAATACAGAAGGGRAATTCTAGCTGTATTGCAATTTGATTTATTAGAATTTATATAAAACTGGGCTGAACTGCTTTTGTCAGCACATGGTTTATTGCATCAACAATGATGTTTGTAAAAAAGAAAAGAAAAAAAGAAAAAAAAGATTATTTTGTGGGCAAGAAGAAACTTTTATTTTGCAATCATTTCAACCAATGAAAGTTATAGTATGCATATGCCCTTTCGATGTAAATGTAATAATTTAAGTAAATGGTAAATAAGTTGTTGAATTCGACTCAAGTTTTGTTTTTAAACTAAGAGTATCATTTGGAATATCCCTCTATGGCGTGCCCTTATTGTACAGAGCTACACATCATTCTTACAGTATTTGTGGCACCTTAATGTGGTGGCACTTTATTTTTGTGCAGTGAGGACAAAAAAGCATGAAATCTATTGTGAACGTGTCAACAAAACTATCAAATCTTTCAAAAAAAAAGTTGTTTTTGAAGTGTAATCAATGGACTATAAAAAAAACTATGTTTGACGCGATTGCCAATCGTTGCTACATCGAAGTGTGTTTTCCAAATCATGTTCTGGCATTAACATTAATGTTTGTCGTTGTGTTCATTCGGGCACAAAAACGCAAAATCGAGCTTAAAAATAATTTTTTGAAAAAAAGCAATACATGTTTCCAAACGACATTGTGAAAACTAACGTCTTAGTAAAATGGCAGGCTTATTTTTTTTTATTATTATGGAAGCACTTTCTCTTCCAAAGTCCACGTCCGTCTGTGGACGGCAGTATACTTGACGTAAATACATGTATAACTTGACAGTTGTAGTGCTTTTGAAGTTGTAATGCTTTGTCAAAAGAAGGATGTGTGATTACCACTGTTTACAAGCCTCACAATAATCATCAATAAAAATAATAATAATAATACAGTACTGTACAACTTTTCGAGACGTCTGAAKGATGTCTTGTCATTTCAAATGTGATAAAACTCAGCACATCATATATCCAGGGAGTCTTCATCATCGATCGAGGTATCATTCTTACAGTTATCAAATTTTCTGTTTTGTGGTACGCACACAAAGAACCTTACAGATACTTCATCTGCTAAAATCCAGTTTGTGCACTAACAAAGACGTTACACACCTGAAAGATAGTCAGAAACACGGCGAAAAGGGTGTTTAAAAGACAAGTCTTGCCACGACAACACCTTTGGGTACTCAAAGGGATAGTTTAGATCTTTTAAAGTTTGATTTTGTGAAAAGGTTTTGACCAGTTAGCATCTTGCCTGTTGTGGATAACTCTTTGAAAGGCCTCTGTTTGGAAAATCAGTTTATATCGAACTAGAGTGACGAGTTAATGGCTAGTCTGAGCAAGGTCAAAATCAAAGATTTATGCTATTTTAACAACATTCGCTAAAGTTTATTGGAGTTCACACCACTGTCAGGCAGGTATTCTGGCATAAAAATGTAGCGTTCTTATCCAAAATGATAGCTGTACCCAAACTGTTTGCTCCACAAATACCTTTTTATCTAAAAAAACAACATCAAATTAAGGATTGACAGTGATCTAACACTKTATAARATAGTGTTCACATGAACTGGTATGCAATYAGAGGTTCAAAGAGCTATCTGCAACRGGTAAGATAYTGATTGTTCATAATATTTCCACAGAACTCAGCAACCCAATATCTGAACTATTTCTCCATTGATGCGACACAAATGCAACTTGTACTAAAAAAACGTTCATCTGTTGATTGATTACCAGTGGTCTTTTAACAAATTATCTCGTATTCGTTTGTTAACGCTAAACAAAATATGCTGCACCTCAAAGCACAATGAACTGCAAGGTGTCGGATTTAGTGTCTTTACCGGTGGAGAGAAAAGAAGAAAAGTGCAAACAGATTGGAGTTTTGAAGCTAAGCTAAAAAAAGTACTTGTTACACATTATCTTTCGCAACGGATTCTCACTACAGGGAGGGAGAGTGCTGGCTGCGCTGTCAGCCTTGTTTGACTCAGTCTGTGCTGCTAAAGTGTTATCTAGCTCCATGTGTGTGCTGAAACCCCCCCATGCAACACCCATAGAACCGCTGACGGGGCACAATACAATCAGTGTCTCCTCTGAGAACTGCTGCTTCTGTTTTCTACCATGCAGCTCTTTCAGTGCTGATGGGAGAAGATGCAAATTTGGAGTCATTTTAAATTAAAGTTCAGCGAATGAATTGCAGCTGGCACCAGCCACCAAATCTGACACTTTTATTTTTATTTTTTAAACCCCCAAGTGATTAGTTATAAATCGTAAAAAAAAAAAAAAAAATAGTTGTGGTTAAGAACTCACATAAATGTGCATAAAAGACCCCGCACACACATTTCAGGTTTTGCTTCTCTTCAGCTGAGCGACTCCGAATCTCTCTGGAGATTTGAATGAATGTAAAAACCATGGATTGTACATCTAAAAGTATCACTTGTTTGGTTTCATTATGTTGTTCTTTTAACATACATGATGCACTTGTACATAAGCCATACTTGTTGTTAAAAAATAAACCATTATTTATTGATGAAAGCTGGCTGTCTGTGATTTGTTGACTTTCTTTTTACTTTATAAAAAAATCAGGTGAAAAGAACTCTAAAATTACAAATGTAAATGTCAGAAAAAAATCCAATTTTGACAAGATTATTAAGAATTTTGTGAAATTAATTTGAGTTTTGATCAATTTTAGAGACCAACCTCCACAATCTCAAGAACGCTTGAGATGATGAATTTMAGCATCATGAATTTGGGATAAAAATCCATTTTGAGTGTCTTGTTATAGATAGAAGCAAAATTGTGCCTATGTAAATTTGAATGTACTCACTCACCATGGTGATATGTTAAAACAAAAAAACAACAACAACTGTGAATACAGAGATTTATGAAACTTCACACTCATGATTAATATTAACTTAATAGAAACAAAAATAAAATGTTTAATTTTCAATGCTAGTTTTAAGACTGATGAAATCTGATGGAGACCATTTGGGACAAATTTACCCACACTCAGCTGGGAGCGCCTTTAGTCTCACCTTTAGTCTTTAGCAAGTTAAAAAAATCAAAACCTAATTAAAGGGGGGTGGRTGCAATTTATAGGGACAAGATGGGCTTTTTTAAACCATCATGGATAGGATTTGTTAACATATTTCAGATCAAACCAAAACATATAGTGAAAATTTGAAAAATCTTTAGAACTGAATACTTGAAACTATCCTTTTTGGCCTTATAAGAATTGTGGAAATGATTGAAAAGACTGTCTTAGTTTGTGTTTACTTTGAATGTCTGTGTGCCAGAATCTGTGAACCATAGTGTCATTAAACCTGGGGTGGGGCTGTAATCTTGAAGAAATGCTGTGGTGTCTGTGTTCAGCGTGGATAGGAGGGGTAACCTCTTAAACTGTGGTCTTTTTCTTTCAAAATGAAGCATTTTCAGTGTCTGAAACAACAGGCTGTTTACACTTACCTTAAAGGTACAAAGTCATGAAGACTGATCAAAAAAAAAGAAGGGGTAGGGGCTAATTGAATTCAGCCGGGGGYTTTGTTTACATTGAGTGCATACCCAGAAATGCAAATCTGGAATGCAAAAATCTTCCTGAACTATTTAAAATAATTCTAAAACAACCTGTTGTGTGTTTGATTTCAGTATTTGCAATGAGTTTTTAAGTCTAGCCTTTGCTTTCACTTTATAGTATTTTCAATGTTTGAAACAAGTTTTATGCTCATTTTGTTGGAATTTTCATCATTTGTCTGTTATAAGATTTATTATACATAACCTCTCTGTACAGATCTGACTCAAAACCAGCAAAAATGAGGTAAAATTTTCCATGTTCGGGACAGGGTGATGTCAGTGGGATGATGCGGCAGGAKCCACCGGTCCACTGCATCAAACCGGGCCGCTCCTATTGGCTGAGAGGGATGCTGCGCGTGCTCACCGTCACCCCAACGGCAGTGCGTCCATCTCACCGGCTCAGCAGAAAGCAGACAGTCTGAGAAACACCATAAAGTGAACAGTTGGACGCCTTGCATCATCAGCTCACCATGAGGGAGATCGTTCACATCCAGGCCGGGCAGTGTGGGAATCAGATCGGAGCGAAGGTAGGGATGGTTTTGATTTCCGGTGGGGTGGCTTTGATTTGACTGGGGGGGACTGTCACGTGAGTTACACTCGCAAAGATTTGTGTTAAACAGTTGCTAAAGTCTGGGAAGATTTCGCCAAAAAAAATAAATAAAAAATGGTAAACAACTGATTAATATGGCCATAGGGCGGGGTTCTGCCCGTTTGGTCTTTGAACGCACCATGGTGGCCCAAACTGCTCCATGTCCATTTAACAGATGCGAATATATATAT